GTACCGACCAGAGAAGATATTACAGAAAGGGAGTTACATCTCCCCAAACTCACACCAGGATGACTAGAAACCTGCAGCACCACACATGCTATGTCAGCAGCTCAAATGTTATGTAGCTCATTTTCAGTCAGTCTAATTGGTCTGCAACATTTCTAGTTCATCCAGCTGCTTCTCTGTCTTGTCCATCAATCACAGGTAGCCTGAGAGTGTTTTGGTCTGCTTACTTTGTTCTAAAAATATTCCTGTAATTTTTCTAGTTTATAAATTCTGCCACGAAGGATCCTACTGAATGTGATAAATTTCAGGATCTTCTCAGCAGAATGAAATCTCAAAAGGACATTTTTCCCACCCTCTTAGGACATCTTTTTCATGTAGCATTTATCATTCTTTTTCTTAAAAATTTTTCCTCACCAGGATGGAAGGGTTAAATTTTTGTGAAAATGGCAGAACAACAGATGCCTGACTTCAAAGATCTCCACACAAAGTATACTCTATCAGATGATTCCACATATCATTGATAAAACAAATGAGGTAAAAAAGATGAAATAATTAAACACAAGAAAACCACATAAGACTAAATAGAGCCGGGCGGTGGTGGCGCACGTCTTTAATCCCAGCACTCGGGAGTTCTGGGGACAGGCTGGACCAATAGCCTCCAAAACAATACAGAGAAACCCTGTCTCGAAAAACCAAAAAAAAAAAGACTAAATAGAATACACAGAACCATTTTCTGCAGCATAAAGACCTCAAATTTATAGTCACATAAAAACAAATTGAACAAAACACTCTATCAGATTATTACTATACATTGCAAATAATCAAAAGAGAACACAGAGAATTTACTACAACTCTTGGAATCATGATATTTAGCAAATATTACACTTTTTACACATAAAATCTGCATGGAAGATGGAGAACTCTGTGAAATGTTTGGCTTATAAGCAACTGATACTGAGTTTGATCCTCAGAAATAAGGACAACTGGCATTGTGTCATGAACTTGAATCCTAGCATCGGGGACAAAGATCCACCAAGATTCCTGGATGTATACCCATCCAGTTTATCTTAATTAGTGAGAATCAGGTCAGCAAGCAACTTTCCTATTTTTAAGTGAGGTCAGCAATGTTCTTGAAAATGACACTATGGTTACTCTCTGGCTAATCTAACTGAACACACATCCTCAAAACTCTCATACATAAAGACATAGAAACACCTGAAAGTACCAGAAAACCAAAGTGTGTGTGTGTGTTTAGCAAGTGTGCATTGGTGTAACATTAATAACCTCAGTCTTACATCAGAGCACCAGAGAAAACCTACTAACATTAAGATATTCAATGAAATGACCACAGAGACATTTGATCATAAATTTTCCCAATGGTGAGTTTAGAACAAAGTTTTTTATGTGCAGGAGATCCTTAAACCAATAATTCAGTTTCTATAAATTCATCTGAAATCAAGCAAAGAAAGAATCAGTACAAGAAAGTGAAGTTTCCCAAACCCACAGATTGGGAAAAGATATTCATTAACCCCACATCTGACAGAGGATGATCTCCAAAGTTTACAAGGAACTCAAGAAGCAAGTCTCCAAAGAATACAATCAAAAAGTGGAGTATAGAACTAAATTGAGAATTCCCAGTAGAGGAGTCTAAAATGGATGAGAGACATTTACGAAAGTGCTCAACATCTGTAGCCATCCGGGAAATACAAATCAAAGCAACTCTTAGATATCAACTCATTCCTGTCAAAATGGCTAAAGTCAAAAACTCCAATGACAGTTTATGCTGGAGAGGACATGGAGAAAGGGGAACACTTCTCCACTGCTTGTGGGAGTGCCAACTTGTACAGCCACTTTGGAAATCAGTATGAAGATTCATCAGGAAAATGGGAATCAGTCTACAACCAGACCCAGAAATTCCACTCTTAGGCATATACCCAAAAGATGCACATTCATACAACAAGGATGCCTGTTCCACTATGTTCATAGCAGGGTTATTTGTAATAGCTAGAACCTGGAAGCAACCTAGATGCCCCTCAACTGAAGAGTGGATAGAGAAAATGTGGTTCATTTACACAATGGAGTACTATTCAGCAGAAAAAAAAACTAATGGAATCTTGAAGTTTGGGGGCAAATGATGGCACTAGAGGAAAACATTCTGAATAAGGTAACCTAGTCACAAAAAGACAAACATGGTATTACTCACTCATATATGGATTTTAGACATGAATCAGGGGAGTGCCAGCATACAATTCCACTGCAAGAGAGTTTGGGAAACAGAACCTTTATCCAGCGACTGATGAAAGCAGAGGCAGACAACCACAAACACTGAACTAAACTCCCGGAATCCAGTGTCAGAAATGGGGAACTGATGGGCAAAAGACTTAAGAATGGGCTGGTTTAATCCACAGAAAGTTGACCTGAATAAGGGGGAGCTCTTGGACTCCAGATTGATGGCTGTGTGGAAAGCATGGGACTGACCCAGAAGCCCTGAATGTGGGTGTCAGTGAGGAGGCCTCCCTGGGATCAGAGTGGAGATTGGGTGGGGATTGGGGATTTGGTGGGGAAAGTGAGGGAGAGGGAACTGGGATTGACATGTGAAACAAGCTTGTTTTTAACTTAAATAAAAAAATCAAAAAAAGAAAGTGATTTTTTTGTTTCCCATCTGATTGAACTAGGGAGAGTATAAAGTGAAAATTTCACTGGGGAGATCCTACAATTTCTGAAACTATTTAGGACACAGTTCAGATCACACCTTAGTCTGGCTGAAGTGCTGAGAATCTGGCCCTATCTAAAGGTTTTGAAGCTGTAAGCCCCATAGTGTCCCTATTTTCTTGCGCAGAGATGTTCTGCAGGAAGCAGGAAATACAAACAGCACTGGTATGCAGACTTCTATAGTGCATAGTCAGAAGACAGAGACTTTTAATCTCTTTTTGGAAATATCTACTGAGCTGAAATGCAACAAAACTGAAATATACACTATAATGTGTCAGCGGGACAAAAATGTGACAGTTTGATAGCCAGAGTGGGACACAGTGACTGTGTTCATATTTTATGCTCAGGGATCATGGATTAACCACAGGATGATGATTACCATAGGAGAGGATATGGAGGATCCAAGTATTTAAGCAATCAATATGGGGTATGGGAAAAATGGTATGTCTATGGAAGCTAAATGACAATATTTGTTTGAGGTCAAGAAGGTATTAAGGCATCAAATATCCCTCTTGTACTAACAATATCAAGAGAGATGAGTTATTAGATTCATATGTAGATAACATAAGGGGATTGCTTAGGGATTACTTATAGGCAAATTTATGCTATTGTAATTAATTGGAGATGTTAAGATAGAAATTTCAAAGTCATTATCGGACCCTCCAAGTAAAAAGATTTTTGTCACTAAGCCACCTGTAGTGACCAGACTACTGTAGATAGTGTATGTCATGGCTCTTAATGGAGCTTGAGGGAGTAGTGAGTATGGAAGAACCAAGCAGTTTGTGGGCCTATTTGACTCCATAATGCATCGAAGTATGCCCCCAAATTCTTTTTCTATTATGAGGGACAGTAAAATTCAACATTCCAATGTGAAAAATATAAGGTTCTGGAAAATGTTGGTAGATTATGGAGAGTGAGAGTAGTTTCTCCCAAACAGTCTCATATAATCAACTTGCCTCATATTGTGAATAAGCCTGGTACTTTTTCATTATCCAATAGACCTTGTTAAAATATTATTTGTATACTTACAGATTCTTAATGCCACTGACATTTTTATTTAACCCAGAAATATGTACCATTTTGAATAGCTCCTTCAAATAGGACTATGTACTAAATCTTACAGGTCTAGCAAACCATCTTGAAATACAATAAACTCAGCAGTGAAAATACAATTATAAAAAGGACTCATCTGGCTTGGAATAGGAAATCAGAGATATAAGGTAATTAAAATCCTGGTATCAAAAGTTAGTTGCTTCTTCAGAAAATTTTCCTAAGAAGCACATGATACCAAAAATTTATCCATGTTGTTGCCATTGTTGTTAATTGTACAGCAGAGTTACATGATTAGTACAGTTGGTAAATAAATTGAATATTTTGTTCATACAACATGAAAATTTGGGGCTCTTATGCTATAGAACATTTTATAACGTGAAATATCTTTCAATATAATTATAAGTCACTATGTAGAATATTTCAGGATAATTACCTAAAATTACTATGAATCAGTGACATGATAAGGCCATCAGCATCCCTGTCAAAGTGTGGCAAGTAGTGAAAATATGGAGTATCAGTTGCCATCGCAACCAACAATTATATGATTTGTTTGAGGTCTCAAGCCACTTAAAGCAATCAATATATTATAGTGGAAAAAAAGATGCCTAAACATGTCATGTTCTGCAACTATAAGTATACTTTTCATAAATGGATATAATGTGCTTGTCAAAATGCCTTCTAAACATTTGTGTTTAGACCTGCTGATTTTGAGTTAAATATTTTATAGTGTAATGGTCAATGAAAGAGATTTGTGCTTAGTTATAACAGTCTGAAATAGTGAGCTTATGTGGAGATTCATTGGATTGTTGAAAGCATTCATCCTTACTGGAACCACTAGGGAACGGGACAGAAGACATGGTGGACATATGAAGACTGCAAACTCGGGAAAAGATTGAGAAATAATTCCTTTCTCTGCTTACCTTAAAATGAGTAATGAATTAGAAGAGATGGCCTTGCTGATTTGGAGAATGACAGAACACTATGGATCATAGTATGAAAATGCAGCATGACACATATTGACATATAACTGTGTTAAATGTAAAGAGGATGTTAATACTCCCTGAGGGAAGAATGGTGCGCATCTAGAGACATTGATTCAATTTGGCCCCCAGCTCTGTCTGGCTCTGGGTACAATATGGTGGTATATATATGGGAGGTGGAAAGTTCACTGAAGGCAGCACCCAGGTCAAGAAGCTTTCCAGAAATTGAAGATCATATAGTGGTGGATCATCTCAAAGATGCAGCTTGCTTTGTCTTTACCAAGGCATGGTAAGTAGACACACATCATATACATCCAAGACTGAAGTCTAACTAAGCCTTAGATTATTTGTACAGTAAATTTTCTTTGGTGTGCCCTGTTCTGTGTTTTGGGGGAACTGCTATTTGATCAGTTTAGGGGCAATCAATACAGAGCTAAAACATCTCTCTAGAGGACACTTGCTCAATTATGTTTGAGTTTTTCATGAAGTATCTTCCTTGTGTTTCAAACATAGATATTTTGTGTTTTTTGTTTTAACAGAAGGATAAAAGGGTCAGTGTTACTGGCATTTAAGAATCATCAGTTTTATAACAACTTCCGTTTCAAGTGTTACCATCTAGAAAATAAAATACAACTCAATGTGTTCAATTTACATTATCAAAAATGAGGCTATATTGAGAACTCAAGTTGAAATGAATTATCCAATTATTTTCAAGCACAGAGATAGAAATTTGTAAGCAATTTGTGTGATCAATAAATAAATCTGAATAAACTATCAAGTAACCTAAGTCTTAAGTGATACATATAAGGAAAATGAATTAGGTACAATACTAATATATTTAAGAAAATGAAAGAGAGCCATAAATTCTCTGAAATTCATATATGTGTAGATAATGATTTGTAATTTCTGGCCCATGGGTTTTGAAACTCCATGTTTTTGCAGACTTGTGAAGTTCCTTTGGAGCAAATGAAAACTGTGAAAATTCTCTCATATTTCAAAATTTTACTAAAGACAAAATGTCACTATATCTTTGTATTTTCCAAGTCGTAACAGTGAATACTCTATGAGGTATACCAGAGTGACTTCAGAGTACATTCTCAGCTTCTTTAACTGTTGTAACCTCATTTGTATAGTTCATCTCATGCCGTTTCTCTGACAGCAGGAGTGTGTATGCTGCTGCTAGTGTCAACTCTGCCTCTTTGGGAGCATGTGGCCTCCAAACCAACTGGCCCTTTGTCCATGGAAGCCCTGTATAATCGTGTGGTCGACCACTCTCATACCACATTTGTCCTGGCTGCAGATATATACCGTGAATTTGTAAGTAATATACTTGCTTCTGGAAACTTATATAAATGGGACTTCTTATGGCTAATCAGTAATGACGCTGGAATGAGTCATGTATCCAATTCCAAGTATTTCAATTTTATTAGTAATAAAAGGAATCATATAGTAAAAGGTGGAATGTGAAGAATGTGAAGTTTCACAAGCTCTCAAAAGAGTGTAAATAATTTAATGATACTTCAATCTTTTCTATATTAACTTAAATAACAACAACTTTGAAAATCTCAATTTGAAAGCTGATTTCCTGGTCATGTATCCAAGTTTTCTGGCTTTATGGGCAGTCCTTACCTACAGATAAGAAGAAAACTAGTGCTGGAGAACTAAATTGAAGTTAGTGTACAGATAGAAATAAAACTGAAGAAAATTGAAACCATATAAGCAGTGAAAAACAAGATTAAAAACAAAATAGATACCCTTAAACTTGTAAATGCAAAGAATCATGGGTTATGTTTCTCAGTATCTTAGTGAAATTGAAGTGCTAATTTAGACACAAAATATTTTTTGTCTTTCTCAGGAATGTAAGTCACCTTTTTTGTTCTTAAATCTCAAAAATGTAGGGTTTGTCAAACATATCATGTGTTTTGTTTCTATTACATTTTGAATCACCAATAAATTAAATCATTTATTTTTTTCCAGGATTTAAAGTTTTTCAAGAGAAGTTGGTTTACAGACAGGCCCCTCAGCCTATGCCACACAGCCCCCATCTATACTCCAGAGACTCGTGAGCAAGTCCATGAAACAAAAGTAGGTTTAATCCCTGTTTCATACTGAGCATGTAATGCTATACACAGGCTAATTGTGTTGTGTGTGATTACTTGCACATAAGAGGTGTTGCAATTTCAGACCAAACAAAGGATGATGCAACTGTCAGAGAACAATCATATCATACAGGTGATAATTTTAGAAGTAAGTAAAATGCATGAAAGCTCATTGTCCCAGAGTTTAACTTGTCCACATAGAAAACTCCTTTTACAAACAATTTCTGCTTGTTAATGGAAAGTTTTAATCGGAACTTGATCCTCATTTATAACATATTACTACACATAGAGAATAAATGCAAATTCTCGTATGTTGTGATACACATTAAAGGATCTTGCTTCTGCATCATGTTACACAACTGAATTGTGTGTCCTTTCTTCTTAAGTTTCTAGACAATCCTGAAACTATTTGTAGTCCATCATTATTTCTACAGTCCTCCCTGATTGCCCTGCCTCTCCTGCATCTTATCTGAAATTCAACTGTAGAAAAGTTGCCTCTAGACTATATCATGTTCCTCTGGATGATTTCTCTTTTGATGAGGTCTACATAACTCTGAAGATCTAAAGTATATATGTTATGAACTCTTGCCCCTGGCTACCTGTCATAAACATGAGTTTATTTATATAAAATTAATTTTTTTATCCATCTCACACACATCAACTACTCTGCAGTGGTGCATGTCAAACTAACACAAGTATGTCAGATATAAGGTAGTTTCATCAACACAGTATGACTATATAAAGAAAAGGGAACAGAAGAAACCATTTATAAGGATTACTTATCTGGAAAGTATAAATAGCATACTTTTGTCATTGAAAACTTTAATATTGACAAGTGTTATTTTAAGAAGACAATGAAATGAGGCGCTAAACAGTTGGGAAAAGTCATTTCTCTTGCATATCAAGTATGAATTTACACTAAACTTCTTTCATTTCATGAAATCATTATTAATCATTATTGTCTAGTTCTCCTAGATATTAGATTTATGATGCAACTTGTCTGCCCATTTCATTCATAAACATTTTTTAATTCTATGTGAACATATGTCTAGTCTTTATTTTCATAGCTTGTGCATTTCTTCACAAACATCCTAGTAAACGGCTATTAAAATCATCTATTTGGTTTGACTTTCGCCTGGAGGTAACACACACTGGGTTGAAATTCCATTCTTATTTCTAAAGATGCCAGGAATTAAAGTAATTCCTTGTAATAGATTTTCTTCTGTATATGTCAGTAAGCAGCCAACATCTCTAGAGCTAATGGTGGAGGAAGCATGCAGATACATGAAATGCATGCTTTTTCTCCAGTCAACTCTTTACTCTAAGTCTCAAGTAAGTATATAGGAAACCAACTGGATTCAGTAGTGTAGAAATCATTTGAACCATTAATTCCTGACAGTGTTGGCATCTATATTAAATGAGTCGTATCTTTGGACATGTACTGATGCCTGTAAACCCAGTTTTTTCATTGATAGCATAAGCAGGTGAAGAGAACAATTTTGACAATGGGGACAAATGATAGAATGTTTAATATATTGCAACTAATAAAAATATACTGTAGTTTGCATCTCGTACTGAAAAAAATAGAAGTATCTCTCTACATACCTGTGTGGTATGTGGTATACTATGATGTTCACTGATGTTTTCCTAGACCGAAGACCTTCTGAGAGCAATCGTCAACATTACTCATGCCTGGGAAGAACCACTGAAACACCTGTTGTCTGCAGTGCCTACTCTCTCAGGAGCATCTGATAATATGCTGAAAACAGCCAAAGCTGTGAAGGACAGAAATCATATACTTCTGGAGGGGCTTGAGACCATCCTCAATAGGGTAAGCTGTTTCAACACATGTCTTTATTTATACTATTCATAAAGTTTGCAAATTAGTAATTTAAAACAATTTTGAGGTACTCAAATACAAGATACTTTATAGGCCCATGGAACAGTGATCCCTGTAGAAAATAGTTGTGTGTTTCCTAGTAAATTCCATAGTATCTTTATGCAATGGTGTGGACACTTCATCTAACACAGATGATCTTAAAGCAACCACTGTCTGGATAACCTGTACCATAATATATTAAATGAAATATACCACTCATGTAAAGTATAGAATGTAAAGTATAGAATGTAAAGTATAGAATGGATTGATCTGAAAAGAAAGAAAGGATCAGGGCACTCCACCAAAACCAGTCTGGTATGAAGGATACATCTAGGAAAGTATTGAGAGCATGTAAAAATACCCCAAATGAAAGGATGATACTAGCCCTTTCCATGATGTTTATTTAATTCCACACATATAGCCAAATATTATCTTGCTGACTCATTATCTGTCTACTTGTGTATGGATATATCTCATTTGAAGTCAGTGACATGTCAGGAAATACATGTTATGCTTGTCTCCAAATTATGTGTTGGTGTCAAATGCCTTTACATGATTTTCCAAGGTTTCTCTATGGCCTACCAAAGTACACTAACAATACTAATAATTTACAAGGAATATGAACTGAGAGAGACCTCATGTCTTTAAGTGGCTAGTTTCCATTTGTGAGCACCTGATTCCATTTCCAGAATTTATGTCAAATATCGATGTGGTGTCTTCTCTTTGTAGCCCTCAGAATAGGCAATGAGATTTAAGGAGTTGTGTCATGAATTACAGTAAAAAGGAAGAAAACGTCTCTCAAAAATCAAAGTAGATGTCACTGGAGGAACTTTGCCCAAAATTGATGACTGACACCCACATCATTTATATTACACATACACACAAACACACACACACACACACACACACACACACACACACAGAGACAGACAGACACACAGAGAGAGAGAGAGACAGACACACACACACACAGAGAGACAGAGACACAGAGAGACATAGAGAGACACAGAGAAACAGAGAGACAGATAGATAAAGGTGATAATATCAATAATACCTTTCCATTTGATGTTCAGACCCAGGTTGAATATGAAGATGATGCCTACCCTGATTGGTCCGGCGTGTCAGATTTACAGTCAACTGATGAAGAGACTCGCCTCTTTACCTTTTTTAACCTGTGCCGTTGCCTGAAAAGGGATACACATAAGGTTGACACTTTTCTCAAGGTCTTGAGGTGCAGAGTTGCCTATAATAATGAGTGTATTTTTTATCAGTGAGTGCTGAGTGCACAACCCAGAAATATCCTCCTGTCATCATTCATGTTGACCCAGTACTTTAATGCTTTCTTTCCCTTCTCAGTGTATGAATGGTTATGATGGAATTCTTTCTATAAAATAAAGTCTAATTCTTTAGAAAAAACAGACTCAATGTGAAAATTTATGGAAGTCTTTTGGGGTTAATATAATTTGGGTCTAGGCTTTTGTGATGTGCATTCAAGAACCTCAAGTTTGGCAAACACATAAGACACAATTAACTTTATTTTAGAACACTGTGAATGAAGGGAGAGAATTTACATGAGACCAAAGCCAAAACACTGGTGCCACTTATTAGATCAACTGTATCAAGGGAGTGGATATCTGAAGGAGCTTATGAAAGGAAACCATTCTGTGAGCAAAATTTTAGTCTGATAACAAACTATAGGAGTTCAATAATATTGTACTATCCTTAAGTATCATTAATTTAAACTTTCAAAAATGTAGTAGGAAAGAAATATCAAACAGATCTGTATTTCTCTAGTGTCTGCCCATTTGCCACCTTGATAATCCTTAGGGCCATCTTAGGAAAGAAGCAGGTTTCCCTCTTCTGTAGTTCAGAATACAGAGCATTTTAATACATTAAAAATAGAAGTATAAATTGAGCCTTGGACAGCAGATCAGTACCCATCCCAAGTATACACACGGTCCCTGGACTCCCATAGAACAATGTGAGGTGCACTCTCACCCTGAACTCTTGGGGAAGGGTCTAGGCCCTGCCCTATATGAAATGACAGACTATGGACACCCCCATGGAGGGCCTCACCCTCCCTGGGGGAATGAGGGGATAACGGGGGGGGGATGGGGGGGAGGGCACGGGAGGAGGGGAGGGAAAGGGAGAGGGACCTCGTACTGACTTGTGAAGCAACCTTGTTTCTTATCTAAATTTAAAATGGAAAATAAAAAAAAATAATAAAAAAAATAGAAGTATAAAACAAAGAAGGCTATCCCTCCTTTATAGAAACAGTACAGCAGACCAGAGGACATGGGAAGATGTCTCTTAGTGGTTATATTCTAATTGAAGTCTGAAGATTTCAGGCAAGATTAAGAGGAAGCAGATGTGATTTACACAGCTACCAAAGGGAATGCAGAAAAGATATTTGAGAAGAATCAGCAGTTACTCACTGTCACATCAGAGTGGTTCTGCTTTCTACTGCCTCTGGGATATTCACTTCATAAGATTACGTATGAAGGACTTCACCCAACATAATAAGAATAGCAGCAACCATTTTTAAAACATAAAAATTAGTAGAGAAATTTTGATAACATAGATTAATAAATCACATCATGAACATTAAAGGTACAATTTGAGAAGAAAAAAATTGTTTTTTATGAGGATATTTTCTCTGAAATTGTGATCTTAAACAAACAAGCTAATGTTATATTAAGATCAGTATAATAGTTGTTGCACTCATTTAAAAAAGAGTGAAAAGAAGTTCAGTCATTATTGGAGATGAAAATATTAAAGATGCAAAGGACTGAAATCTGGAAAACAAAACCATAATGCAACCCTGACAAATAAGCAGGTATAACAATCTAACCATTCTTCTTGAATATTGTATGATATAACTCTATTCTGATTTTGAACAAAACTCTGAGATATTCACATATACAGAACATAAAGAAGTAATAATTATAAATCACATGTCTTCAAATGTTTACCAGGTATCCCCTTTGAAAATGGAATATGCACATTAATCTAGGGTAATAGTAAGAAGAGCCTGATGAGGTCGGTTTTTTTTATAGAAGATGAATAACTTCAGCCTGGAAAATTCCTGTTCATGTGCTAAAGGACAATAGATGCCAGTGTAGGTACAGAAGGTAATTCAGGGATATAAGAAAATATTTTAGATGAGGAAAATAAAAGAAAATTAATCTAGTTTTGTAGTTTGTGATAGTATGAAGTTGTTAGGGGTTGATCATCAGGTTCTGAAGGGCAATCAATAGCAATGCCAACAATCTGTATTATTTGACAATCTATGAGTCCTCTCACTGTCCAGCAAATCTGAGAGATGTGACCCATTCCTAACACTGAACCTTTTACTTGTTAGCTTATTATGGTTTACTTGTTCTGGTGTCTTAAAGGGATATTATTGTCCCAATGGAGGATAATTCCATTAAACTCTTCAAAATGTATGAATATGAATATGTCTATATTTTAGGAAGTTTATATAGTAAGAGTTTTCATAAGGCTTTTTCTGAAGGTCTTTACTGTTAGGTATCTCTCCCTGTATTTCCTCTTCTATTCTTCTCTACAATTCCTCACCTCATTTAACATTTCTGGTTCCATTTTTCCTTAACTCTATTATATAATTTTATATATATCTGCATTCTAAATTCTCCTTTGGAAGGATCTACTTCAAGTTTTCCATGGACTTTTACTAATTTCTGGACCTCTGTAGGGGGTTGATATTGTCTTGTAGCACTTTCTTCCAGGGTTAAAGCTTTAAATTTTGGAAGGAATATCACTAAAACACAGAATATTTACAGGACACTAAACAAAGGGATGTTCAAGGGAGCTTTCCATCTTACAGATAGGTTCTTTATGACAGGAAGTGAACAATTCAGTTACATTCACAGTTTCCAGGAAACTGATCAGTTTACAAAGTGTCTCCATCCTCAAGTGTATATACTCTGTAAAGCCAAAATGTCTAAGAAAGACAAATAAGGCAAACTACCTGAAGTAAGAAAAGAATAGCCATGATACCTGTCACAGGCCAGCTGAACTTTCTGAAGAGTTCAGACAAAGAGATTTCTGAAAAGGACACATTGCAACTCATTAAGCAGCTTGAATGCTTCCTGCTGAAATTTTAGGTTGAGTCATGTATACTATCATGCCTTTACAAATAAAAATACTTTGTCCTTTTAATTCCTATTTGTATGTCTTTTTTCTTCATTTGTCTTGTTGTTCTACCTAATATTGAAGTAATGTATTAACTTGTTATTTTGAGAGTGAACAAACTTCACTTGTTTCTGACTTCAGTGGGAATGTTATGCATTTCTCTGTTAGCTGTGGACTTGCTGTAAGGTGCTTTTGTTAGGATCTGTAATATCTCCAGGATTTTAACATGAAAGGTTGTGGAATTTTGTCCATGGCTTTTCTGCACCTAATGGTAAGACCATGTATATGGTCTTGGTCTTTCTATTGGTTTATATGGTAGATTATATTTCATGATTTACATATGAGCACCATCTCTGCACGTTTTGGATGAACTTGGCTTTATCATGGTGAATGATATTTTTTATTTTTAGGAAGCTTGTTATTAGGTTTTTTTTTTCAGTAATAGAGGACAAGCAAATACCTACTTCATCTCCAACACTGTGATAAAAAGGACAATAGGCAAGGGTAACAGTAAAATTAAAATACAGAAAATACAAAACCCTAAGGTTTGGGAGACAAACTTGACTTAAATCCATGTGTAGAGACTTGTAAATGTCTTCAACCTCGCCCTGCAAATACAACTCGTTGCACCATTTCATGGATCACGGGATAGAGAGAGGACATGGCCAGGTTCAGTTCACCGGGGTGATGGGCCAGACCCTGAGCTGGTCGAAGCCACTCATCCTCTGGCCATCCACCTAGTCAACTAGTTGGAAGTTTACATCTTGCTTCTCATTTGCTTCCAGCTTTGAAAGTGACTGGTACATATATATCTAGCTATTTTTACTTGTTCTTGGATTCAGTTTGCAAGGATTTTATTGAGAATTTTTACTTCTATATTCATAAGAGAAATTCATTAGAGAAGCTTCCCCTTTCAGCAGACAGAAGTGACTGCAGAGATCCATAGCCAGATATTACATAGAAAAATTTACTGTAATTCTGTTAATTTTATGTGGTTAAGTGTCACGGTAACTATGACCTTGTAAGTGAATTGGGCAATATTCCTTTTTTCTGTCTATTGAAATTATTAGATATAGCAGAAAATTTATATTACTGAAACTAATGAGTTGCAAGTCACTCATCTACTTCATACCTTAAAAGACCAAACCTATAAAAGATATATAAAAGATACAGAAAATTTAGAAATGGAAAGATATTCACACTTTGACCAGCAGGGCTCAGTTGCTGCTGCCATCCATTTTAATTAACTTTATGTAATAGGTCCTTCTTTTTTAGAATTTTTGTTTTGATATAACCAAACCCTCAAGTGATGGTGAGTTAGTCCAAAGAATGTAATTTTGTTGCAATATGGTAGAAACATAAGGAAGTAGTACATAATGAAGGATGCTATGGTTTTGATGTAGAAGGATGAATAATTGAGGGCATGTGAGGTGATTCTCAAGTCTATATCTGTGTCTGCCCTTCCTTCCTTTCTCTATATCTATCTTCATGTTTATCTTTTTTTACTTCATTTCTGCCTCTGGGATTATTTGTGTCTTCCTTCCTCCTCTTCAGTCAGCTTGATAGAAACAGCCTTCTCTGTTCCATTCTTCTGCCATAGACAACTGTGCTGCACAGGGCCAGTGAAACTAAATTACAGGAAAATGCCATTGAATCTATGAACAACCACAACAACAAAAGCCCTATTCCCTTTTTAAGATAATATTTCAAGGACTGTGACATAGCAATAGAAAAGTGACTGACAAAACTGGCTAAGATTCTGTGGTTTTATGTGTTTGTGTTAGTCTCAGCAGAAGGACAAATAGTCAATCATTAATTGATTAAGTTTTTCTTGTTTTTTAAGGTTCTTTCATATCTCGTGGCCTTTAACGGTGGTAAGACATAGTTGGTTTTATCTTGGAGTTTATGTTGTTTTAATAAACACCATGACCAAAATGTAACATGGAGAAGAATTAGTAATATCACTATACTTACTTATGACAGCCCATCATTGAAGTCATAGCAGGGACTAAAGGCTGGTACCTGGTGGCAGGACTTGAAGCAGAGGCCATGGAGATATGCCATTTATGGACCTGCTCGCTATCTCTTGCTCATATTGCTGTCTACACTCCAAGGTATCACC